CTGAACTAATATTCACTTCTTTTCTATCAGTGACTGAATATTTACCGTCAGAAAATAACCAGTAACCAGGGGCGAGAAAAACAGCAATAAGTGGTGAATATCTGTAAGTAGGACGCTCAATATAAATATTTTCCCCAGCGACAAAAGCTTGAGCAGCATCAGAAAACACATCGTAATCCACATCCGTGAATCGTAGTTGGCCGTCCGGCCAACGAACTGTATCCTGCCATACAGAGAAAATAACTAACACAAGTCTTAGAATTAAGGCTAGTGTTAAACATAAATGGTAACAATTATAATTTGTATATATGTTTGTAAATGATGTGCGATATCCAAGAATTAAAGATTTGAACTGATGAAGATTTCCATTTGAATCCAGTTTGGAAGTATCTGTATCTTCTTTTTTCACTGTTCTGTGACAAAATTGTTCCTCGGAATTATTACACACTTTGGTAGAATCACTATATTTTCTTTGCTTTATTTCAGCAGGACACGTGTTCAAACTAAACCTGTCATTAACTTCCTTTTCCTTCACTACCCTCTGACGAATTCGTCCTGAAGAACCATCACATGTTTCAACTGGATAGTTAGGTTTATATTGTTTCAATTCAGTAGAAGCTATATTTGAATCGAACACCTCCTCTTCGTCACTACCACCAGATGAACGAATATAATCCTTGATGTCAGCATCACTATCGATGACTAATATGTCATCATGAGGTTCACTAACGTTTTCGGCAGACGTATTCATACTATAAAACACAAAATAAGAAAGGTAATAGTGAACCTCCTAGTTACCGTAGAATTAAAGATAAGGTGTATAGATGCATTTACCAAAACTATTTAATAAACCTTTAAAAAGCCTTGATTAGTTTTTAAGTGGATATTTTGGACTAGTGGGCTGAAATCGTTCGAAATCAAAACCTTCCTATTCAAATGTACTTATAACTTTAGAAAACTTTAAAGAAAGTAAAACCGTATATCCCAAAAGATACAACTCGACTTGAGAATGAGGAACTATTTTCTTAGGATATAAATCAAAAGTAATGAATACGAATGATTAAAACCACGATGACTACACAATAACAGCAGAATAGATAAAGTCCATAATCGAGGTTTTTACAACTCAACGAGACATACCGACTTTAGGACTAAAAATTAGCAGAATATTAAATTTTGTAAAGTATCGGTTAGCATTTTCTTAAGAAGGAATCCCGAGAAACTTAATATCAAAGTATTCTATCGATGCTGACCGCAACACTGGAGTCAGGAAAAAGCTTTAAGATCATAAACAAACATGTACAAATAAATCTGCTTTGGCTTTCAAAATCTATGAACTATCTAGTTCAGAAAGAGTGTTGTTGAACTCAACATGACAGTAAAACCATCTAAGTCCTTTTTCTCATCCTAGCATTGATTTTAAAAACTAAAATCAACCAATATTACAAAATAAGTTGGTTTCGACTAACACGTTCAATTCTCATTACAGTTTTCAAACTAAGGAATCTGTAACTGTATGCGGATATTAACTTCAATTGAAATAATTGAACAATCAAACCTGTTTTTAAACCTGAGATAATTTTTAACTTCGACCAACTAATATTTTGCGCTTTGCTTTGCCTTAATCCATGCAATCAGCAATGAGAAACTATGTAGTAATCAGACAGAACAATACAAATCCTAGTTCCAGAAAAAACACAGTAGCACAATCAACTGCCTTGGTGAAAAATGAAGTTTTTATGCTTTTTATACCCCTGATGTTCACATAAAACCTAAAAAAAGGGACACTATTTATCCACACTAAACTGCTTTAGCTGTAAAACTTGAGAGTTTACTGGATATCCTAATAAATGGTTTATTCAAATTAAGATGATAATGAAGACAGGAAAACCTCATCATATAAGTTACTGAGTGATATGAGTGATTGAAAACCTCCAATGCCACCCAGTGATGTTGCCCAACTAGAATAAATAGCGCCCAATTGCTTCACTCATATGTCATCGAGTTTATTGGCAATGAATCTTAACTGATTTATCAATGCTCACATTACCTAAGTTGTAACAAGTTGCCTGAACAAACGCATAATGCAAATAACCGAAGTATTTTACAACACTTTTAGTTGTGGGTAAGTCAATGACGTGAGACTGATGTATGTGGTTCCCTTTTAATTGTTACTTTACTAGTAATAGATATAGAACTAATCTAAGTAAAATGAGACCAAACACATTTAATCAAAATGTATGAAAGTAAAGCAACTACTATAGAATAGTTCACTACCTAGATTATCCTTGAACTAAAGATTTAACAGTAATCGTCAGAGCATAAAACAAGAACATAAAATGCTCCAACCAATCATTACAATGTGATATGAGAAAGGAAAACATATTTTTATCTAAATAAATTTATTCTGAACAGTAAACAATACATTTGCTCAATCTAATTTAGTGTTAACTTTCTCATTTAAAAAAGTATATTAAACAGTTGTATGATAATTAAAAAAAACTATTTCACACAACAAATCAATAAAAGAAAATAGGTCTCTTTTCATACTGAATTGAGATTTGTACAAGTAATAAAAACGCACAAAGTAAAGATGAATAGATGATTCGTAAAAATAGACGGACTTTTTTGTTGGAAACATTGCACGAATAATAAAGGATTTTCCCTGATTAGAATTGGCAATAGTTTAAGATTAGACACATTCAAAAGATTGTCCGATGCATAGTTATACTTCTGGAGAAATAAAATAAAAATTTGTAATTTTAACAAACTGTAGTTGATAAAATAAATACATGAATAAATGGTTAGTATGTATAAATACTTCTGATAAGGATGAAAACTTTGTTGAAAAACAATTAAATCAGATGTTCCGTCAAGTCAGAAACTAATTTACAAACATGATGAACTTGAAAACAACTGTCTCAAGAACTGAGAACATAGATACTACCAACTTATCGAAAAGACTAACTTCATGATAGCTGACTTCCTAACTAATCAAGCCTCAAATCCCCTGGTATGGCCGAGAGTGGAGTGGTCCCGCCCTCCCTCTCAAAATGCTCTCACACGGCCACGCGTACACAGCCTCTACTAGGGAAGTCCTGGTTTAACCGGCTACATTTAGCTGATGTTTCGTTAAGCACCGTATGCCATATGGTGGAACAACCTCATGAACCTGAAGCATATTCGAAAGAACTAATGACGGAGTTTTCAACCATTTTCCAGCCTGTATTGGGTCAGTACATTGCTATGAAAGCAACACTTCGGTTGAAACCTGTCTTCCGTCCAAAGAGACCAGTGCCGTACGCAGCATTATCGAAAGTTGACGAAGAACTTAACCGCCTTCAACTACAGGGAGTTATTACACCTGTTTCTTATTCTGCCTGGGCAGCACCTATTGTGGTTATTAAGAAGGCTAATGGCACAACCCGAATATGCGCACATTTTTCCACAGGTCTTAAAGCAGCTCTCGAACAGCATCATTACTCACTGCCAGTCCCTGAAGATTTGTTCACAATGCTAAATGGTGGGAAGTTCTTTGCAAAGCTGGATCTAGATGATGCCTATTTACAAGTGGAAGTGGATGAGGAATCCATAGAGCTACTTACCATCAATACTCATCGTGGCTTGTTTCAGTACAATCCCCACTATTTGGTGTTAAGACAGCTCCATCTATTTTTCAGCAACTAATGGATACCATTCTATCGAGTATCCCGGGGGTCATAACTTATCTCGATGACATCTTAATTGATGCGGCAGGTCGCAGACCAGATACTGAAAACATCCGAGTCATAAAACTGATGCCGACTCCTACTAATATCTCTGAGCTACGATCATTCTTGGGATTAATTAGCTACTACTCAGCTTTTGTTCCGTCGATGCATGACATATGCGCCCCACTAAATTATCTTCTGAATAAGAATATTATTTGGAACTGGACAAAAGAGTGTGAAGCTGCATTTTGAAAGCTCAAAACAATCATTAGCTCTGAACTATAATTGATGCACTACGACCCATCCATGCTAATCATTGTGGCTGCAGATCCTTCAGCTTTTGGACTCGGTGCTGTCATCTCACACATTAACTCCAGCGGGAAGTACAGTCAAATAGAGAGAGGCTCTCGCCCTTGTGTTTGCAGTACGCCGTTTCCACAAATTCTTGTACGGTCGAAGATTTACTCTTCTCACTGATCACAAGCCTCTTCTCACAATTTTCGGATCGAAATCTGGTGTTCCAGCCCACTTTGCGAACCGCCTCCAGCGATGGACTTTGGTACTGTTGGGTTAGGATTTTGACATTCAGCACCGGCGCACCCAACAATTTGGTCAGGCAGACGCCCTGTCACGACTTATCAGCGAACACCATACGATCGACGAAGATGCAGTTATTGCCTTCCTAATGACAGAGAAGCACGCGCAATCTTACCTGACATCTGCTGTTCGTGATTTGCCAGTCTCAGCAGTTGAAATACAATCTACCTCCAGGAACGATTGCATCATTAAGAGAGCGAGGAAATACGTCACTAATGGCTGGCCGTCAACTGGACTCGATGGTGACTTGAAGCAGCTTTACCACCGTCGGGACTCATTATGCGTCGTGAATGAGTGCTTGATGTTTGGAGATAGAGTAGTGGCGCCAGAGTCCCTAAGATCAAGGGTGCTAAAGCAGTTCCACACTGATCATCCTGTTATAAAACGAATGAAATCCATCGCCAGAAGCTATGCTTATTGGCCCCTCAGGGATCAACACATCATGGATTTAGTAGGCAAATGCAAAATTCCAGTCAACTGAAAAGTATATACCATGTATCTTAATAGTAGTAATCAAAACTATGAGATTCTGATAATTTAAAGATCAACAATGTAAACACACAAAATAAATATAGACTTACGCATGCCGGGCCAATGGAAATGATTTCCAAAAGTATTAAGGTTTGATGAGTTAATACAGTTGAATAACGAGCCATTATCAACTTGTTACATTTTCACTTTTTTTACCATCATTTAAAATTTGAAGTAATTTTCTAAACCTATTTTATGCATTGACCTGAAAACTATGTGTTTTCTAAAGGATTTGACACGACCAATCGCTTCATCAACACTTAAAGATTCTGTATACATGAAATAACAAGTTAATAAGAATGCTGAACGTGTACGACCGGCTTTACAATGAATATACACGCATCCGTTTGATTGTACACAAGAGTTGATAAATGTAATTCCAGCATCAATCTTTTCAAAACAAAAGAATAACAAAATATAATACAATATGTCATAATTACTAGTTTTTTTGAACTACATAAAAAGTTTGTAAGACTAATACAATCGGTGAATAAATCAAACGGATGAGTAGAAAAGAGAGGCTATGATATCTAGTTAAAGAAGCAGATAGATAGACCTAAACAACGTGAAACCTAGTACAAATTTGTCTCATTCTAAATTGTTACATTTTACACCTGCAAAGTGACAGGTAATCATTATGAAAAAATATAATGAAATGAATAGTATAGCCTGAAACATATCAAACCTTTCTACCTTAAAGGCGCTTGACAGGTGAATTTAGCAAGTACAGTAAATTCATCATTATGGCTTAAAGGATAAGAGAAATGAAATAAAGAGAAGCAAACAATTTTGTGATGTCGACTACCAACTTTTCATTCAATAGTAAAATATTACGATCTTATATAAAAACTACTTTGTATCATGTGACTCCATCTTTTAATCGACAAGAAATAAAACAATCAACAGAATTAAATATAGTAATTAGCTGTATCTTTTATTTGACGATGAATAAATAATCCATATTTGAGACTAACTGACTAAAAATGTATGTGGCAGAAGTGCATGGATTAAGGTTGACATATTGTTAATAAAAGAGTTAACGAAGAATGAGAATCACTTCTGCATAAAAAATACTTACCTGCTCAAATGTAGGAACTCCCACAAAGTCACGAACTGGTAGAGAGAGATATTTAATGCCTTGATTCACAGCATCCTTTTCTCCTATGACAAATGATTTAACTTCGAATGGTTCCAACATGCTCACTATATGTGTGATATTTTCATCTGCCTGCCATTTATCCCAGGACTTTTGAGTGGTAAAGCACCCACAATCAAAGAAGGAGAAACACGAGAGTACCATGGGCGCCCACAGCAATAATTTAAAAACAACCCATAGGCAGTACTCACATAAAACCCAACTTCATTCATGAGCTGTAGGACCATAGCAAAATAAGAATGAAAATAAGTATTCAACTGGATAAGAAATAAATATTAAGCACAACAACGCCGACGGATACCTTCTAATTAGGCACGTAGCCAAGATGGAGTTCATTACTCTGAAAAGTGTATCCGTTTATTGAGGACACTGAAAACTACGGTATGAATAATACTTAGAACTTCAGTACTAGGTACAACCGATTTGAATGACGAATATTTGAGGCATCAAAGCTTGAAATGAGTTTGGTGGATAATGGGGTATCGTAAAACGAGTGGTAATACTGTACACAAAATCATCGTCGCTAATTGGTTACAACGCAATCTATCTTATTCCATATCTAAACTAGTCGGAGCATGTCAAGTGATACATTGACGGCTATACTGAAAGATGAAGTTGACAAAAATAAGCTATAAGCTTCAAAAGACTATTCTATTATTCGACTTGTAACCAATAAATTTCTATGGCTCAACCAAATGACACTTCTGTTGTCCGTACTCCTGACCTTTGGAATGAAATCGCCAAGCAATACAATGATTATACATAAAGTATGATTGAGTGAATGAACAAACTATCCTCGGTCGCTTCCAGAATGATAGAAAACACCACTTATATTATCACTAACACTTTTTAAAAATTTTGTAGTTCAGAATATCAACAAAAAAACACTGTGAATAAAGATTCAGGAGACTGATGCTGCTTTGGTTATCATTTTGATCAAAACCTGACGTCAGTACGGACCAACACCGATGTCACAGTTCCAGTGGATAAATCTACTTGTAATAACAAAGTCAAGTACTGAAAGCTAGAACCTTATTTACTAAGTAATTTCTAATGTCTTTTATTTTACCTAGAACTGCATAGCATCGCATTTTTATCGATTACCCATAATAGCAAAGATATGCGACAAACTTTTCCTTAAATTTCATCTGATGTTAAAGGACATTCCCGAGAAAGAAAACGATTTTCGCTTATCTCCACACAAATTAGTGTACCACTCAGGAAAGAAAATTATATGTACCTTAGATTTTCAGTTAATTCTGAGCTTTTAAAAAGACTAAATTCAAAAGATATACGTTATTTAGCCATTTTGGAAATCACTTAAAGCAACTGTCAAACTAAATACGTAGCTAAGTTCGAATGGAAGATTCTGTATTCAGTGTATTAATAATAATTCCATCTACTTACTGAGATAGGAGTAGCTCCCATTAGGAACATGACAACACTTAAATAATTCATTCATAAAGGTTAAGTATGTATCCATAACCCCCGGATTACAAGAGGATCTACTGTTGCTGTGTTTATATTATTATTAAGGAATAGTCTTATGGTTAGTCTTAAAACAAGCATTCAATATACATTTAAGTAAAAAATGACGAATATTTAAGTTGGATTGTTTATTTATTTTCATACAATTTCTTTTTCTCTAACAACAAAACTAACATCATATGTACATAAAATAACTAAGTACTATCCATTGTTTCTATGTTCATTTTGATACCTTCTCGAGCTCGTTGAACATAATCATTGAGTATGACTTGTTTGTCTTTGCTTAAGGGTTCCAGATTGATGAAAAGCTACAGAAAAGACGGAAAAGTGACAAAACATTTCAAAACAAACATGAAATAATAATGCCTAGTAAACACAGATTAATCGAATTTGAAGTTGTTAATTCAGATTAAAATAAGGCCTGCAATAAAAAATATAATGTCGTTGTCACGGACCCGATGGTACCAGTGTCGTTTCTTGATGGGGAAATGGATGCTCGCTGCTGAGGAGCCCCATATTTGGAAGAAGTAATTGTATAGTGTTTCGTGGTTGTCTAACTAATATCAGTTTCTGATATAAACTATGAAGTAGTCATTAGGTTAGTACCTTTACTGGTCACCTCTTATTTCCACATCTATTGCATAGGATGAGGTATTTATCTTTGATATGAACAGAAAGTTCCCTTGGTTCAAAATACAGAACCACTTGATTTCTCTAGCCTAAATCTCTTGAAGTCCCAATTAACAAATGGGGTATACTTAATAATTTTAATTAGCCTTAAGTTTAAATGATTGGGCTAATCATTACCTTAAGCCATATGATTATTTCTAACCCACAACTGTAATATTTTTGAAATAACATTATCGGGAATCACTGCAAAAGAACATAAAAAACAATCTGAAAAATACTGAAGTTGCTGTGAGTCCTCTAGGATGTCATATGAGAATGACTTCAGATATGTCCATTTATTTTTAAAGCCACTAATTATATGCTAATCAATTAAGTTATAGTACATTTCAACAGAATTACAGACTGTATCAGGAAAATAGCATGTTTTTATGAAGTGGAACAAAAAGGTTATTGTACAGATTAAGATTACGATTACAGACTAACAAGTTCCCACTAGAAAACAATGTAAGAGATAAAAAAACTTCGGTCGAACAGTGAAAACTTAAACATTTGATCACAATACTGTGGATTCGTACCACCATTAATACCTGGATAAGTTAGTTAAATTATGATTCAAAAATTACTGAATAAAATTTAAAAAATGTACTTACTTCAACATAATCCAGCAACTTGCTAATCTCGGATGGACTCATATTTTGTTGGGACAAATCCTTTGTGTAGTCTAAAACAGTCTGTATCGGCGGAGGTATTAAATCGACATTTGACTTTGTATGGACGGCAAAAGGACTAGAGGGTCTAAGAAGACAAACTAAACGAAGTACCCAACCTAAGCGATTGTAATGTTGATGTGCAAGAGTCTCATAAACAAGTGGCCCAGGAGAACCTAATTGAGCAATCATATATAAAGCTAAGGGACCGTAATAGCGTGTGTGTCGTAGTAGAAGCAATGGGTTGGTTAGACCGTTGGTTATCGATTCAGCAGTTTTTTCAAATGGAGTCCAAGCTAAATGGTTCACACGTTCATAAACACGATAGCATATTCGACTAAAATGTGGGTCATCTGGTTCGAATTGAACACATGTTCTGTCCAAAATATACAAAAATGAGCCTTGGTCCAAAAGTGCCTGATAAGGAGAAATTAAATATAGAATAAAATGATAAAATCGTGGGAAATCCACTACCAGAAAAGTTATGTTTAGTTTTACAAAATAAACTTGTGCGTACTATCTCATCTGCTTCCATCAGTACAACCCTGAAAGTGTGAATGATTTGGTGGATATCTTTAAAAAAGGACCTTAGTGGTCTAAATACTTCATATTGTAGTTCTTTTTTCCTCGTTTTTGCATCTAAACACATAGACTGACTTGGACTTGAACTCCACTGCTATGATAGTTTACGTAACCGAATTGCATTGTTCCACTTCGCATGGTAATTTGCATTAGCACTAGTTTCCTAACTTATTAATAATTGTGGAATGGGTTTGGTCGAACGAGAATGAATCTCACACCTAGAGCAGACAGAATATAACCTCAGACAAAAACATCCGTCGGGCTACTACATACAACAAGAGCCTTGTAGTAATCAAACATAGACTACCTTAAGAGAGTCATAGTTACTCCCGCCGTTTACCCGCGCTCGGTTGAATTTCTTCACTTTGACATTCAGAGCACTGGGCAGAAATCACATTGAGTCAAAACCAATCAGTGGACATCGCAATGCTTTGTTTTAATTAGACAGTTGGATTCCCCTGGTCCGTGCCAGTTCTGAGTTAGCCGTCGCGCGCCAGACCATGGAAGTACAGCCGCTTGACGCAACGTGGAACAAGTCCTCACGCGTTGCTAGCTGCACGACACTAACAGCTGAAACCGCCCACGATCGACCCGGGTCAGAGTCCAGTAACCTCACCATAACACACACCGAAGCACACAAAGCAGCAAAGAAACCAGCCCCCAACTGGAACGACACGTATCTGATCTCGGCCTGTCTGACTCGGCCCCCAGAGCCAATCCTTCTCCCGAAGTTACGGATCCGATTTGCCGACTTTCCTTACCTGCATTGTTCAGTTGCCAGAGGCTGTTCACCTTGGAGACCTGCTGCGGATATGGGTACGGCCTGCCACGAAAATTATACTGCCTCGCTCGGATTTTCAAGGGCCGACAAAGGCCAAGCCATCTTCGTGAAGAATTGGTGAAATAACCTGGTTGGCTGCCCAAAATGAAGTAAACAAGGGTGAGTTTGATCCATCTATCCCATAAATAAACCGGTAGTTAGTAGATTCACAGATGAGTACCATACTCTGGTTTGTTTACTCTGAGCTCCATTCTATTCTAATCCTCCTTCAAGAAAATCGCATGTAGTGACTAACAGTGACGCCAGATGAGTGAGAAACAAGGCCTTGCAAAAATTTTGAGTTTCAGGATGGTGAATTCACAACCAGCAAGATACTTTATGAAATTTTGCAAAATCTATGAGGCGTTATAGGCTATATCAAAATTCTGAACCCCACCTTAGTTATCAGTATCTCGTTTCAAAATAAAGTGTACCTCAAAGTCGATTAAAGTAACCTGTAGTTGGTCATAAAATAGTGATGATAATAACCGTCCTTTCCATTTTCGCATCACTATCACTTCTGAAGCGAAACTTTATGTGATTATTGACGTTTAAAGTGCTAAGAAGTAACATAAACGATAACTTACATCTAACTGCTTGTCTTCAAACATCATGGGAATGAATAACTTCCGACCAGACAAAGGAAAGTAAACTTGGTTAATACGATCACGTTCAGAAAGGTCTGCGTGTCTTAGGTTACCATTTGACTCTCTAACTACTATGAGACGGTTCTTTCTGTCACGCTTTAGTGTGGTATCTGTAAAAACTAATTTAATATTTCCCGGAATAATCCCTTGAAGACCGCTATCTCGAGAAATTATTTGGCTATTTACAGAGGTTCTTGGGTTTAAAACAGGTGGCATCTGCAACTTTTGTTCCGTAAAAGCGGCAGTATATTTTTTGACCTTGTGTAAAAGTTAGATAAATAATCCGAATCGTATTACTATATTTAGTTCGGCATCATTAAGAAGTTTAATACTTTCCTTCCCAGCTCTTCTATAGCGTCGTTGGTGAACTGTGTTTGAATCTATGCAAGTGATCAGACGTAAAAGGTTGTGGATTTGAGGATTCGCAAACAGTTCTTGAAGGCAATAGGATGACTGGTTATACTTTGTTGTCAAGTCTAAAAAAACTGTGAATGTGTAATAAAATTACTTGAACAGTAAAATCCTGCTGCTTGGAAAGGTTTTACGACCTTGTACATGGTTTATAGCTCAGCAGTCACAAGAGATACGGAATGTACAGCAAAGTGTCACGAGTTCCAGGGCCAAATAGAAAACGTGATCAAGTTTTCATTGATTCTAAACTGAAAATTATTTAAATGTAGCTGAAATAGTTTAACTTAATATTTAATTTCATAACACTATGAACGAAAAAAACCATACTTACTAAAACGCAGTCATTTGTAGGTATACACTAAATCCAAACCCATCCATCAAGTCCAGAATATGTGGGATTCAAAGGAATAACGACTAACAGGAACTAGTGATCGTTACGCTTGAACATTTTATGAGGGAACTTCAAAGTATGTAGAATGGCTGTACCGATAAATCATCTGATATTATTGTTTTCATTGCCCCCGAATACCGTGGCACGACCGAGGGTGGGGACAGTCAACTCCTCAAAATGCTCTCACAAGGCCATACAGCCACTATCAGGGAAGTCCTACTCACCGACTTCTCGCGTCAGGGGTGTTGTTTACGAAACTGAGAGGGTGAAAAGAAAATGCCCGGTGCTTTAGCCAGGTTGGCGGATATGGAGGATCCATCTAGGGGAGTTGAAAAAACGGCGAGACTCTAATTTAAGGACGACCTTTGAACGAATTTTAAGTGACCTTGACAATTATTAGCCAATCAGAAGACAGTTAGTATAAAGTGAGAATATATTGTAAGTAAGTAATGAATTACAGTGGATATTCTTCTTTTACATGATTTAAAAACTTGTTAAGGTCTGATAAAGGTTCAGAGGCTCTGAATTCATAATGCATATTGTATAGAAACTCGTCCATAGGGTTAGTGGTTAGGGTTGTAGCCTGTAAGTAGATACATCTCTAAAATCCGATGTAAACCGATCGCATGTTAGCACCCTAATCCTAACCTAACCCTAACCCTAACCTTAACCTAACCCTAAATCCTAATCTAACCCTAACCTTAACCTAACACTAAACCCTAATCTAACCCTGACCTTAACCTAACCCTAAATCCTAATCTAACCCTTACCTTAACCTAACCCTAAACCCTAATCTAGCCCTAACCTTAACCTAACCCTAAACCCTAATCTAACCCTAACCTTAACCTAACCCTAAATCCTAATCTAACCCTAACCCTAACCTTAACCTAACCCTTAACCCTAATTTTAACCCCAAACCCTAACCCTATGGACGAGTTTCTATACAATATGCATTATGAATTCAGAACTTCTGAGTCTTTATCAAACCTCAACAGGTTTTTAAATCATGTAAAAGAAGAATATCCACTGTAATTCATTACTTTCTTGTAATATATTTTTACTTTATACTGTCTTCTGATTGGCTAATAATTGAAATTGCTCAAACGCTTCTCATTGGCTCGTCCCTAAAATAGAGTTTCGCCGTCCCATCTGTTGTAACCTCTCATTAATCACCTACTCTCTAAAATCCGCTGTGAACCGATCGTATGTTAGCAGCGCCTGTTGAACTTGGCTCCGTGACCTTGAAATTGCTCAAACGCTTCTGATTGGCTCGTCCCTAAATTAGAGTCTCGCCGAAAAAACCCTGATTCCAAACAGATGGTGCACACGAGCTCCAGGATCCTAAGGAAACAAATGGGGTATGAACCTAATTTTGGTTACTGCTACCATGGGACTGCATCTCCTGACGTCGCTCCACTGCCTTGTGGATTAGACTTTTAGGTCAAAGGCCCAGGGTGTGGCCCTCTAAGAAAGCCACCTACTTCGTTCTGGGCACCCAAGCAGTATCACATCCCTCACACAAATCAGTGATAACTGCTACTGGTCTCATTGTTATTGTGTGGCGCATTTGCACTTCGTGCCCCCTTGTACCAACATTTGTGTTCAAATATATAATAAATGAAATGTTTTCATTAGATAAAAAGCAAAAAATTGCCTATTGCTTTTGGTATCCAGTCACACCTCCCGAAAATGAACAGATCACAAAACAAATATAGCTTATAGGTTTCAATCCAGAGAAACAAATGAAAAATTGCATAAACGACATAACAAAGGAATTTGTTCTCCAATATGGACTTGCCCAAATCTGCTAGCTACAGCAGCTCCACATACATGAGTCAATCAACAAGGATTAGTCGATAATCACCATTATGTACTTCATGAGATGCCAACCATAAACTCAATCAAGAGAAGAAGTTCAATTACGGTCTGAACGTATACTTTTGTAGACTTCTATGGCTGATAGTAAATATTTAGATGAAACTAATAATAGATATCAACCTACTGACCTGAATAAATTTCAAGATACCGATCAAAGAACTAATAGTCGTAGGGATATGTGGAGACCAAGACTTTTAGTTCGAGTAAACTTCAAGCACTAAACTACATATCTCATGAAAAAGTGAAACTGCACTAAATTGGTGAGAGCTGATAGTAACTACCTTGGATCTGGTTAGCTCGACAGCAAAATAGTTCAACCCGTGGCTTCACCGTTTTTGGGCCAAAGTCGTAGTGAAATATATGAAAAAACTATTACTTTAGTCAACAATTTTGTGTAGTTAGATGAGTGCATGCGTGACCATAAAGAGCTGGACACAAGCATGAATATCAGGCAAAATCTTACCAATGTCGGCCTGAGATTATAGATACATGAACAGACTTAGTAAAACTTAAAGCTAAATGTCGTATGGCCACATGCATGTTTATGCAAACAGTTCTAACCATCCCACCTTATATACATTTACTTGCGCGAAAACACTAAATGACCTTGAAGTATAAAGTAGTCAAACAGATCTAGATTAGATTTAGATTTATGTAGTAAGGTCAGACGGCCCACGGCCCTTGGTGTTCCCCTTCTAGTATGCTTCTGTGAGTGCCTAGTCTTTTCTTAATGAGTTAGGCGGATGTGCGGACACCACTGATTCCAACAACAGGTTTCAATAATAGACGACTCATTATGAAAACCTGTATGGCACGGTTATTTTGTTCGTTCTTGCCTTTTCTACCCACCTGCTATGTTCTCTGAGATGTCAGGTCCAAAATCACTTTTTAGTATTCAAGCATCGAAATCAGATTACCACTTAATCTGTGGTAGGATAGGGTAAAGAGGTTCAGCCTTTCAAGCCGCTCTTTGCATGGCAAACTCAGAAGTTCCGGAGTTGCAAGGATGGCTGCTCCTTGCACATTTTCCGGGATATCCGAGTTACCTTTTAAACAGCAGCTTGCAGCCTGAACGCAGTCCTCAAGCTTAGTTCTCCCTAGGATTGTGTATACCATCATATTATCTCTGAGCTTCCCGAATTGTGATAATGTACTTGTTTCTTACCATTCAGTAACGTTCCATCATACTTGTTGTACCAAGACTAACGGCAACGCTCCAACATTTCTTCTTTTGTATTGGCAAATGTTGAATGTCCCTACCTATCCAGCGATGACCGTGCTTCTTCTTTGTGACTGTTCATGGTATATATGGTTGAGTTACTTGATTGTATAACTGCCTGATGTGAGTTTGTGTCTCTTCTACTGATGCCCCTGAGTCAATTATCTAGTTTTTGGAAGATGCTGCAGAGTTGATCGCCTTCATGTCTGCTTTTCGTATGTTAGGACGGGCTGGTGCAACTGGTTAAAAGGCCATCTTTGCCATGAACTTGAATAGGATGACCTCATGATCACTTCATCCTAAAGATGGAAGGAAAGCTGTATAAGTGATATCACCACCGTATATGAAAACACAGTCCAAGAGAGACGAGTTTTGTAGGTCAAAAGACTAATAACTAATAATCTTGCACATTCCTTGAGTCACTATCTATCCTTACCTTCTCTAAACTACATATAATCTGACCAGTGTCTTATAACTTATACTATTGATTATCTTCACAGCAGTGTGATGGCGTTACTGACCTGCAAACATGATGGTGGTGAGATAATCTTGATCCACCCATTCTGTAAGGCAGAACATATTGTTAGATCACAGCTTCTTATGGTCAAGTGGAATGTCACGAATCAATGGTGTTAATGCTAATTTATTATGCAAAATACATGTTTAAATAGTGTTTCTGACGTTTAATTGGTTTCACTTCCTACCAAGTTATCCTATTACAAGCAAAACTAGACAATTCGCTAAAAACGAAACCCACTCGTGATCCTATAAGGTCAATAAAAATAAAAATATGTTGAAATAGCTTCGATAAAAAAGGGAGATAGTCATTCGTGTATCAGAATACTGTTTTCAGTACTATATTTTAAAACTACGTATAATCCTATAGTTCTTTTTGAACCACCTCCGTTTATACACTTCTGTAGTGTGGCTTGGAGTCGCGGTTGACTATGACCACCACAAGAGAAAGACAACGTGCCAATTACAAGGTTAGATCCCTCTGTAGACCAAACATCAGAAGGCAGTTGAAGATTGTAGTAAGATGTATTTGTTGGCGACCTCGCGGTATCGAAATAATACCGAGTTCGTGCCAAAGTTTACGAGCGGGACTACTGAGCGTACGCCAGTTTGTGCACAGTCACAGACCACGTAAGACATTAGCCGCGTAATATAACTTTGACGTGTGGTAGGAGGTCACACTATTCCGGTTCAGCATGAGTAGACTGTGACCATTTAAATAGACCACACACAATGGTGACCTGCAGAAGATTTCAACCTGTTGTATGAATACATTTAAGGGGCTGTATGATTCTACCTCTAGAACTAGTATAGTTTGTTGGCGAATTGTCTGATGAGACTGATATAATAGATAACTCAAGTAGTTAGTATTTTGGCTTGACAGTGGTTTGCATCTAGTCAGTTGACGATTAAACGCCTGTTACATAGTTTAGAACGATGAAATGCAAACATTTCTGAAAGTGTCAACAGTGTTGGTGACTGAACCTGTCCATTTGATAATAGCTATATATTGAATTAATGTTTACATTCAAATTCAATAATAAGCAATTGCATGTGATGCGTATTGTATGTTGAATGTTAAATCTATTTCCGATATTCTAGATGGTCTGTCTCCAGAAAATTATGACTAAAGATGCGAATGACCATATGATGTATAGCTCATCAACAAGGTTAAACTCATAGAACAGTTTCAGAATCTTTATATCACAAGACAATTTTTCATCCTGAGCAGCAAATATAATATAACGGCACACCGAAAAACCTTTAATGTTAAAATATGTAAACTAATATCAGGCGACATAAGCCTATTGGCAATTAGTTCATCTAACTGACCAAAGACCATGTACCTACGAAAACATCCTTGATATGTAGATGAATGGGAATGAAGTTCACACGAGATGTAGGTAATAATGTCTGACAAAATTTCAATGCGAATACGCAAACCTTTTTGAGACGACGCTGGTGATAAATGCAATATCTGTAAAACATGAGCAGGGTCATGATGAGAGTTATTATAAGATATCACAGGAACGTGAGGGACAATTCTCAGAAACTTCATATGAATTAATGAAAGCGCAAATCAAGAGATAGCACAGTGTAAACGGCCTAGACCTGTGTTCTACAGTTCCCCTCACCATAATAAATTTTAATTCCCTTTTGTGTACAAATTAATTGATTCAGTATGACAGTCAGTGATTGGTTTATTCCAGATTCCTGAGTTCTTTTTTCTTATCTCGCCTTCAATCTGTTTCAATTACCTTCGATTACTTGCAAATATACATATCTATACGTTTTAATTGCCTCCTTATAAATCAAATTCCAGTGATTGACTGTCAACTTTTGGAACCATAGTAACCCAGAACTGCTGTAATTTTTGAGGGCCAACGACTGGATTCCCCACGACTTCACTCCCTCTCCTTATGAACGTTTTTCGAACGGACTGTATTGATGTGGTTTCAGGCTGACTGTTTAACAATACATTTAACATAAAGTCTATGGAGGTTCATAGTGCGACCACACCAACATAAATAACTCATGCCGTTTATATTATGCATTCCTGTTTCACCTCTTGTGGCCTCCAAGTGTTCAACATTTAGTGAGTCTCCTCAGTTATTGCATATTCAGTTCCGAAGACCGTGTGGTTAGAAACAACTGCCACCACAGAATAACTGGACAGCTTGAACAGGAAGCTGTAACGCTTGCAACGAAAGAAATCAACCAATACTTTGCATGGTAGCGGACAAGTCAAAAGACTGGGCACTTAGCCACATTTGATTGATCACTGGGTGGTGATCAATGTCATGCTTGTCTAGTCCTTATTAGTGCGGATCAAATGCTATCGATCATGTTGCAATGTGGCCACCAGTCTAGGTGACTCGACACTGCGGGCACTATGTATTGAGATTTAGATGGTGGTTGGAGGTAGTCAACACGAAACCCTGGACCCGGGTTTCGTGCTACTTGGCACTTGTCAGCAAGGTGTACCTGTAATCTTGAGGGAACTGGTGCTCCCTGGCGGATTCGATCTCGTGTCACCCAGCTTCACAGTCAGAGACGTTACCACTGAGCTATCTGAGCCACCACCATCTAAATCTCAATACATAGTGCCCGCAGTGTCGAGTCACCTAGACTGGTGGCCACATTGCAACATGATCGATAGCATTCGATCTGCACTAATAAGGACTAGACAAGCATGACATTGATCACCACCTAGTGATCAATCAATTGTGACTACATCTCAGTCCTACATGAGGTTAGTCACGGCTCGGATAGCTCAGTGGTAATGTCTCTGACTGTGAAGCTGGGTGACACGAGATCGAATCCGCCAGGGAGCACCAGTTCCCTCAGGATTACAGGTACACCTTGCTGACGAGTGCCAAGTAGCACGAAACCCGGGTCCAGGGTTTCCTGTTGACTACCTCCAACCATCATCTAAACTCGGCACTTAGGTTAGTATTATCTTAGATTCCGGAAAAAACGGCAATTGAGTTTCATCATCTGTATGGCGATTTTCATACGACGAGTCTTTTGTCTAAAACGTTTTGTCATTCATCAAATCGCGAATCCCACTATCTAGTGCCAATATATGCTCCGTCTACCATCTGTCTTTCAGTCTCCGATTTCCTGTGTTATGGCCCCTGAATGTTCAGTTAGACTCCAATGACCACGAGAGCTGGGTCTATGCTCGTCCATAGATCCAATCCACAAACGGTACTCTACGTTCAACGTTCGCACTTCTGCAAAACACAGACTAGATTTATGTAGACTACGGCAAGCATACTTGCCTGTAAATTCAGTAAAAGGAATGTGCTCAAGTACATATGTTTGTATAGAAATCTAACTGTTCCGAGCAATTAACAGGTGCGTATGTCTTCTTGTATGTCATCTTGTAATGGCTGATCTCTGCCAACAAAACTGATGCATATTAATCAGTTCTTATACACAATGAATCTTGTCTTTCATAATCTCTGACATCTACAGAGGCTACGTGTTCTGTTAGTCTTGTTAAAAGAAGCTTTGAGCTTTTTCGTCTGACATATTTCCTTTGATAAGCACAACTAACACTCAATACAGTGACTTACTTGCGTCTTTCCATCGCTGACTTTTATATTTCCCAAAAATGAAGGAATAACGTGGTGATTTTACATACTCACAATGCTAGTCTGTTGTGCACACTCCCAACACGGTTGTTAGTATTATAACCGAACCGCGAATATCTACCTAAATAATTAACAGAACTCTTTTTTACCCTGTTTATTCTCGCAAAATTTGTGCTGAATCTCTCAATCAGTCCCTAACGAATCTTGTGACGTCTATATTACTCATTTCTATTAGCTTTGGTTTTTCCATACATCGCCCTAAACACATGGGAGGAAGAGAGTATAATTTCTGAGATTTGGTTTATTCTTTTATAGGTGGATAATACGATCCAGTATAATCCATAACAACTATTTCGCTCACAACTTAATCAGATATTATAAGAAAATCATTA